TGGTAGACGAATCATGGGTTAGAATCCCTTTGCCGTCAGGCTAACCGTGGGAGGTTCTCGTAGTCTTGATATCCATGTGACACAATTGCGAGTTAGCTCCATCAAAAAGCCCTCCACGAAGGCAAATTTCTTCCAATACTTTATCCAGGAGTTCCCTCGTTTTCTGGATTGGGTTCAAAATTACAAGGCTACAGAGTTAAACATAAGTGGTCGTAAACCCAAACCCAAAAATTGGGCCGGCTGTTCAACGATGTATATCAAAAAAACTGCAATGTAAGCAATGGTAACTCAGGGGATAGAGCGCTCGCCTCCGGGTTCGAACCCCGACAATGGTTGGTTGATTCGAATTCCGAACTGGACTTGCACTGGCCACTGTGCTGGCGTAAAGTACCTTAAGTGGTAGACGGATAATGGGTTAGAGTCTCCTCTCTGTCAGGCTAACAATGGGAGATTTTCGTGGTAACACAAGTGCGGGTTAGTTCCATCAAAAAAGTCCTCCTAGTAAGCAAATTTCTTCCAATGCTTGATCCAGGAGTTCCCTCGTCTTCAGGATTAGGTTCAAAATTGCAAGACTATAGAATTGAACATTTGTAGTCGTAAACCCAAAATTGGGTCGGCTGTTCAACGACGGTCATGAAACAGCTGCATTGTGTATCAGGCGTCATGGGAAAGGACGTATTCTATGTAATGTACGACTCTTGCTAAAGACAGGTATACATAGTGCAATTGGAAAAAAGGAGCCGGTGCAGAACAGCAAGTCAGGTAGCAAATCAGTTTCATGCTACTACTGGCAAGCGAATCACCCGAAAAACTGTGGTAAGACCCTTGCAAGCAGAAGGACTATACATTCGCCGACCTGTTGGGTGCATACCATTGTCCAGATGTCATCGTAGCGCTTGTTTGCAAGGGTAACTTCAGTATCGCAATTGGAGCGAAAATGACTGGGCTTGCGTACTCAAATTACAGTAGATTTAGTCTCTTGTCTGATTGTCAAAGCCAAATGATCCGGCGTGAGACTGGTATTGCGTATAGTAGAGCAAACATACAGGAAAGGGACCGATATCCTACATGTAGTGTATGGTATGGACAGGCATTATGATTAATGGCCATATGCCCCTCTGTGTGCTTCCAACTGCAACTATGACTGGCCAACGCTACATTAATGATATTCTGGTACCTCATGTTCGCTTGTTCCGTGATACAGGCTGTGATAAATTTGTTTTTATGGGCGACAACGCAGCATGTCATCGAACAGTCACGATCGAGTGGTGTTCAAAGCGAGGATATTCAACGCCTCTTCTGACCAGCACGTTCACCAGATCTGTGCGGAATGCTTTGGAAAAGAGTGTTGCTAGTCGAGTAAACCTCACCCATGCACTAACAGAGGAATGGGACAAATTTCCCCAAGAACTGAATGCTGTTGTGCTAAGTATGTCGCAACGTCTAAAAACTTGCATCGCCCTCCATGCTAGTTATACCTCCTATTAACATCCTACTCCAGGATTCATGCAAAATGGTATTTTCTTATTTCTCCTTTTTACATTTTCAGCACAAAATTACTATTTTGTTCCATAAATTTCCATTTCATATCTTCTTTGTTTTAGAGCACAATAAATTATCTTTATTTTAATTTCCTAACATTCTAATGTTCCTTTATTTCATTTTGAATTTAATCACTCTTAATTTTATGCTCCTTAGCAATTGTTCAACAGTTTATGGCTTAAAAACTAGATAGATGCATAAATATCAATGTCCTTAAGATGTGAGGAAGTGTAACAGTGAGGATTATCTCGAATTAATAAAAATAAGGAAGGTTTAAAGCCACCGAAATGGCGTTGTTTCTGATTTTTAAATTTGCAACCAATGTGTATTAAGGCTCCTTTAATTTGGGATAATTATCAAAATCAAAAAAATAACAATAGCAAATAATAATACTAAGAAAAAAAAATTTAAATAGTGCAGATAATTTTCAATATACCAGTAATACTTAAATATATTACTATTAATAAAAGAATTATTATTACTATATCTAGAAAAAGTTTGAAATATATTACTAAATAACTTTTTTTACTTTTATTGATTTTATGCTATGTGTACTCAAAGAAACATGAATCATCTTTGTTAATTATATTTTTACTTTATATCGAAAAATATTGTTTTCAATTGTATTAAAGTAGAATTCATATACTTCTTTCATGTTTTCATTTATATTCTAAAAGAAATATATTAATTTTTTTTAATCTTATTAAATGAGAATCTTTAATATTAGTAAGTCGAGTATGACATAATTTGATGTAAGTTTGACATACTAAAGAAACTTAATTAAACTGTCACCATTTTGAGAAACTGCTAATTATTAAAACAAATGGGTCAACAAAAAAAATCATAACTTCAGAGCATAAAAAGGTTACGGCTTCCTTCTAATTAAAAATTTTACAATGCTGCAAAACAATGAAAACGATCAAAATCATTTTTTTGTGAATTTTTAATAAAGATCGTAAAATAACTTCATCTAATGAAATTTGAAGTCAATATTTTTCGTTAATTTATGTATAAAATATAAAAGAACGATAATAATGAATAAAAAAAAATTCGAGCTTAACTTTTTTATCAACTAAGTTATGTAGTTTTTGGAACCTGACACAATAATATTGTAAAAGAAACATATTAAAATTTAATTTAACGATTTATATACACATTTCTTTTACACGGCGACAAATAAAATCGTCATATCTTTTTCACGTTGGCAACAAAGAACTGAAATATCAAGCTCATGAGCTGTCAGAAGCATGAAACGTGCATGATTACAAATGTCGGAAGGAAAATTCTTTTCTCGCGTTGACAAGAAAAAGCTGAAACAAACTGAGCTATAAGTTAGGAAATATTTGTAGGTTGCAAACGAATAGTTAAGCAAAGTGTTCTTTATCATGTTTGAATGGAATACCTGCAAGTGACGTAGGGTGGGTATCTCGACCCTGATTGGATGTTGAAACGTGGCTTTTGTTTACGTTATCAACTGTTCTTTCCATTCTATTTCGAGAAAGTCACACCCGTCATGTATTAATTCCCTTAAGTGAAACATTCTAATATTTTTCACAAAATTGCTTTCACAACGATTTCAATTCTTTCACTGAATATTTCCTACTTACACAAAGACAGGCACGAAGCCATGGGGACTAATTATGCATCGAAGTTGCCAGGTACACAAAGCAAATATATATCATGGTTACAATAAAATGCATAAACAAATAATAAATCCATTTCAAGTAAAAGACATAAAAGAGAAAGAATTATATAAATTCGATGTGCGATACGGCGTTGTAGTTAATTAACTTCGCGTTAATTAACATTCTAACTTATGTGGAGAGACTTAGCTCGACTTTAACAAGCCATCTTGTTCGTAAACTATCAGCTGGCGCTGAGGTCATAGATCACATGTCTGGGTATCAATGATCTTCTTCTTGAAGTACAAACACTCAATTATGATTATGCAGATTCAATAATAACAATAATGTAATTGATGGATATATTGTTATCAATTGAAATATGAATATTGGTAGTGCTATTACTCATAAAAAAGCGGTGATGACAGTTGTGAACAATTGAAAGAATGCGTAGGCGAAGTGCCGTCATGCATGTTTATCAAAGGCATAATTATTATTTTGTACCAACAAGTTTTTCAATTGCATTTCATTTATATCAAATTGAAAAAAAAAATTTCGATTACCTATTCATTTATTAATAATTGTTCATTTTTTAAATATGAATTAGATTTAACTCGTTGAATGCCATGCAAATTTTACATGTCTAGCACGTCTGGCCAAACGGTAAATAACTACAAACTAAATTTGCAAATTTGACAGATTTTGCTATTTTTTAAAAGATTTATCATGGCAGGTCTGTAAAAAGTGGTGAATGATATTAGTCTACGAATTTTTTTGGAAATAGTGGTGGATAAGAGTCTACTAAATTGAATTTATTAAACTAAGAATTATAATTAATGAACTACCACTTGAAAATATTTATTCACTGTCCGGATCAAGTTAGCATCCCTGCGTATTTAAATAAAACTATTTTCGTGTGTTCTATATTGCATTAATTTCTTCAAACCATTTTAGTAACGATAAAAATATAAAAATATTAAAAAATTTCTCGAATTTTGTGTTTCTAATAATGTTGGCTTTGTCGGTCACCGGTGACCCCCATGGCATTCAACGTGTTAAAGAGTTTTAATAATTAACTTCAATTCTTAAAATTTTATGTTAAAACAAATTTCAAATTGGTTTAAAATAACAGCGAGTGAATCGAGCATGGTTTGCACAGCAAACCATATAGGACTGCATTCCAATCTTAGGTGGTACTGTTGCGTCAGTGAAAAGGGGTTCCAGTATTATAATAACAGCCCACAAGTATTATAATAAGATGTAAACGTTTTATTCTGATTCAAAGTGCAATGTATCTGTGGTATCAACATGGTGCTCAATAATCTTTGTCCTTAATACACATTTTTATAATCCTTGTTACAAACGAAGTCTAGAAGGTAAACATTTTAGACGTTATGCATTTAAAGAGGCAGAATTAAGAATAAAAACCTTCAAAATTCTGCCGAATTACTATTGAGGAAAACGGGGCTATAAACATATAAAATTGTGTAATTGTCAGTGATAAAAAAACAATAATCAAAGACTCTTTTTAGATAGATCACTAAGTTTCACCAGGCAATTTAACTTGCATTGATATTTTCCATTGCGTCTTCTTCTCCATAGTAGTTCCATAAATTTTGATCGCATTTTTGTATTTTCTTCGCTTAAATGATAATCTGTGATCCTTAATATTAAATGTATATTTGACAATTTTGCTCTTTAGTATGTAATTATAATCAGATGTATTTACTTTTTTTCGACCTTAAGCAAGACCCATATTTATTTATTTGGCACACAATAAGAGAAGTAGCAAAAGGAGAAAAAAAATAACTAAAATACTAAATAAAAACCTTTGTCGTTTATTATTTTTTTATTTATTCAAAGCTCTTTGATATACATAACAGTAAATGACCATTTGTACTTTTTCTTATCTTAATCAGAAATAACATATAACATTTAACAAATTACGACACGCTTACAAACATGTATCACCATATTCCTTTTACATTAAAAATGAATAGAATTTTCAAAAACGCATGAATATGAAGAAAAAATGTATCACAACAATTTAGTCGAACATGTTCGAAAGATATACGTCAAACGGATGCACATAAACACGAATATAGTCACAAAAGTATTGATGATGAACAACAAACGAGTTATTAACATTCTTGTTGATAGTTTTTCACAAGCAGTTCCACGAACTTCCGTTTTCAACGATCATTATGAAAATTGTTACTGCTTCAGACTTCGCAGCTGAGCAAAAGTTGTATAATTATTCATTGTTGAAAAATACATAACAAACAGACTGTTCTTAAACGTTCGAAACTGGATCATGCAAATATATCCCAAAACATTGTGTAAATGTTGCAGATACTTGTATTGGGTGTCCAGCAATTCACACAAGGAATAGTTCGAATTTACAATTTAAACTTGTGAATTATTTGTTGATTATTGCTTCATAAAGTACACCGTGTTTACTTCCGTGGTTTCGCTAGCACAAACCCAATATTTTACCAAACATTTCAATAACCGCTTTGCAAAAAATGAAGCTGAATTTCGTGAATTTCTCAAGCTCAATTTCCTTCTTGAGGATGTAGACATTGAAAATGACTCTTTCTCTTCTTTTTCTTGAAGTATGGCTTATAGCACCCTCTTGTTGAAACCATTTTTAAGAAATCTGAACTCTTAGCTGCCATGTTTTTTCGAAGACGTTTTATTTTTGGCCAAGTCTATCAAAGCTCGAATTTTGCACAAATGTATGGACACGGCGTCTGCAATGAGTTAAAAAAATTGGGTTATTATGATGAGTAGCTATACTCAAAATAGCAGATGGGAATATTTGTACTGTGGTAACTTTTGTTAGTGCTTGAACGGAGCCCAGTAGAGAACAGAACACAAATCTAAAATCACCCATCGGCAAGAATAATTGAATTGAATGTTAGAATGATGGCACAGGATTTGGATAGAGCTGAAAGTGTCGAATCGGCAAGAATAACATCAGGAATTATAAATTTCAATTTCAATATATTAAGCTTTTAAATCACTTTAAATAAGAAACTCAATGAAAAATGCATGCTTCCTTTATTTGAATTATTTGGTGAGTGAGTTGTGTATATTTTTGGCGCAAGAATCATGTCTTGGCTTTACCACCCCAAAAACTAAGCTAAGATTAACATAACTCGGTTAACATTAAAACTAAATTGAATTTTATTTCTTTGAATTTTGTAAAAAGAGGTTTAAATCCCATAAAAAAAATCCAATATCCTGAAGATAAAAGAAGATATTTTTATGAGGTCTGTCAATTATTTGATTTGATTTGAGAATTATTTGACAATGTATTTGAAGAAATGAGGCTATTTTGTTGTGATGTTATTTTTACCGAGTTGTATAAATTAAATGAGGGGTTTTAATGGCATAAAGTTCAAAAAGAAGATGCTGTACTATCCAATAAATTTTTAGAACAGGTCAGAAGTTATTCTCGCCCAGGTGTGATATAAGTATGAAACAAGTATTAACAAGTTAAATAGCATCTTCCTTGTTTCCATTTTTTCGTGAACCATTACCTCTTACTTTATTTGATAATGTCCTCAATGATCTGTTTTTCGTGGAAGTCATTAATACATTTGATACGTTATTGTTGCAGCATTTATCCCCAAACAAAACTGCTACCAATCCTTTCTTCATCTTGTTGTTAAAAAAAGCGTATAAGAGTGGATTCATACAGCTGTTCGAAGCTCCGAGCCATTGAGCAATTGGTGCACACGCTTGTATAATGAACTCCTCTAGACTATTTTCTGGTATGGTATCCCCTAATTTGATTCTTGAAAATATAGCGTACAGTGGTAACCAAGATATCATAAAAGCCAGAACAACCACAAATAACATTTTGACGACCTTTATCTTTGACCTTTGAACAACACTATTGTAATGAATGCCCTCCCCTGGAAGTTTCCTTTTCCAAACTTTATACCAAATGAATCCGTAAGATATCATAATCATAATAAGTGGTAGTATGTAACAAAGAAGGAGATGGGCAACAATGAAATAGGTCAAGCCCATCTTTTCTGTCGGCCATATTTCACGACAAACGTAGAGTTGATCTCCATCAGAAGTTCTACCAATGTTGATGAGTCGAAAATAAAAAGCCCATGGCAGAGTCAGAATAAAGCTGAATATCCATATGAAGCATATAATCAGCCGACATGTTCGAGCTGATACTTGCCACCTCAATGGAAAGCATATTGCCAGAAACCTAAAAAAACAGAAAACCATATTATAAAGGTTCAATATCTTCTTAAATTTGCAATTTCCAACAATATTAAAGCATTTTTTTAAAAATATTTTGATGAAGTTTTTTATTAAAATGAAATAATAAGATTCATCATTCTTATTTCTATACCATTTAAACTCTAGAAAGGTAGAAATTTTGTGGTTCATTGTTAATTATTATTATCGTGATCTGTATATTTGTAGTTCATGATCTTGTTTGATGAAGCGATTGGCGTACACGTTCAAAGATCACAAGTATTTCACGCGCAAGTGAAGCAGCTTTGGATATTCGAGCAACGAAATCCTCATCTGAGTCGAGTGAAGTAGCATATAACAAAGATTCTTCACATGTCCCATTAAAAAGAAATCAAGGCTCAATAAATCGGAAGATAAATCGAGGCTCGATAATCGGGGCCAAGGGACTGGTACACTTACCTGAATGGCCCAGACGTGGCATTCAGGTAAGTGCGCATATCAGTGCTGAAGTGGGCTGGAGCCCCATCATGCTGAAACAATATGCGGTTACAAATGGCGATAGGTTGATTGATTGAGTGTAGAGTTTAATGGCACAAAATCCAAAAGAGGATATGCTGCGCCAAACAGTACGTTAATGCAGCTTAAAATGCAAAAAGCTCAGTAAATTTTTTTTTATAAAATACATAAAGGTAATAAAAGCCGTCATTAACGAATGGCGATCGGAGCATCCATCAATATTCTGTTACATTACAATTCCTGTATTGCATTAACAATTTAGTTTCATTAAAATTGAATTGAATGTAGGATTTAGCAATGTAAGGTCATGCTGTGCCAAACACACTGTTTTAAAAACAGTTTAAAAGGTAAAGTAAAGCACATGTATAAAATTTGATAAGATAGTGAAAATTCTAAAACAATGTTGTAAAGTTACATACATTTGTAATGGATAAAACTTCATGGTAAAGTTACTAAAATGGTAAAAAGTATGAAACAATTATATACTACTTAAAATTTCAATTGAGCGTAAAAATACAAATGATGATTTTTATGATGAGAAGGAATGGTGATTTTTATCTAACAAGTCTTTTATACATAAAATCGTTCTTTCAAAGAAGATAAGGCGATGTTGGTTGAAACATGGACAAGCGAATAAAATATGATGTACTGAAAGTAAAACATTTCAAGCATCGCATCGAGGAGGCGGTTCTCCGAACAGCAGGTGAAGATAAGTCAGCCGAATGTGTCCTATGCGTAGGCGGGTGAACTTGACATCTGCTCCGCGCAATTGCAATACAGGCCAAGGCTCTAACGGGGATTCAATAATATACAGTTTGCTCTCACTTTGTAAATCCTAGTGTTGCAGCCACAAAAACATAGTAAAATGTCTTATGTAATTCTTCATGTAATTCTAATGTAAGAAAAGGGGACTGATAGTGTTAATGAGACAAAGGAGGCGGATGAGAGATAAATAGCTGAGTATACATGATAGGAACTATACTGGATTTACAGTATGAAGCAATTGGAGAATGAAAGTGATACGATGGAATAGCCCAAGGTTTGTTTGGAAAGTGATCGGTTGATTGAGATGGTGATTTGCAAAAATTGAATGACTGAAGGCATACAAGTATTAAAAAGAGGTATGTATGAGGGTCGCGCACCATATAATCGTTGTAAGCTTAGTTGAATAACTTTATGTCGAAGAGAATGTGAGTTAAATGATATAACACGAAAGTAAAATGCATGACAGAGCTGCATACGTCGAAAATAGTGAAGTGATAAACTACATGTACCACATAAACTTTCGATTAGGACGTTCGAAATACGCAGCTACAAATTCGCATAGCAGTATGATGCACTGTATCTAACCGCTTCAAATTTAAAGCAGTTGCAGTGCCATAGACTGCACAAGCGTTAGTTTCAATAAGAAAAAAGTATTCTTTGAATGAATCGAAAGATGTGCCAGCCAGCTGTCTGAGTGGTTAGCATGTCTGATTCATGGAAAATATGGATGTTCCTCTCTGTGTGTTGTCCTCTGTTGTGTGTGATGTGTGAATGTGGCCTATCCTATAAACGGGTATCTGTGATAGTGTGGGGTGGGTAATGCTGCTAGCCTCCGTGACTTTGGTCACAAGATGCTCACCAGGCAACACAAAATGAGCAATGAGACCTTCCATAGAGAAGAACGATAAGTTCAGTGCCTGCCGTTAAGAAAAAAGAAAAAAATGAATCTAAGGCTAAACTGATGAATGCAATATTTACCTAAAATAGGTAATGAAGAACATGTATTATACCCTTGTTTATTCCCGTACGTAAATGTTAAACTATTTTATGACAATTTAAAAAATGATCTATTATCAACTTCATTAAAATATTAAAACAATCAGCGTTTAAGTGATAACATTGACCTCCTTAATAAAAGATTTATCTTAGATTTTAAACTTATCTATTTTAAAACATTTAAAGAAATATCATATTATTTACCAATATTTTTAGTGAAGCTACATAGTTTCAGCATTCTGGTACAACTTAACACAAGGTCGATACTGAAAATTTGATTTATATTTGGTAATTGTCGAATATCTGTGAGAAAGTCTAGACGGGTTCGGTGTAGATTGTCGTCAATTAAAATTGATAGTTCAGGAATATTATAAATTTAAATAACGACGTCACTTAATTGAATTAAATGTTAGGTTTAATGGAACAAGATCCCTGAAAGGACATGCTATAAAATTATACAATTAACTCTAATTTATTACCTCAACGTCTCTTAGATTTTGGATTCAAACACAAGGACAAAATGCTGTTAATAGTTCCTTGCAAATAGAGAAAAAAGATGCTGGTTCATTATGCAGGAAGACACATTAGAGGTAGCTTTACTCTGTGGGAGAAACCCTTCATATAAAAATATCTTTTACCAACTTAAGTAAGTTAAGATTTCAAATATAGAAAAATTAGTTCAGGAAAACCATGAAGTTTATAGGCTAAAACTTTATTTCTTCAAAATATCAAAAGGCAAAGGAATTATTGCTGGATTACTTCCCTAATGCCCAATCTTGCCGAAATTGTTTACATTTTAATATTTTGACTTCTCTTACTTTTTCTATACTTTAAATTACCTATATTGGTGAAAAAGAATTAGCAATGAAGGATTTCTCCCGCGGTAAAGAGTCTTCTTAAGTGTCATGCCAATGCGTTATTACTTAATAAGAATTAATTTAATCTGGTGTTATTTAGGGTCTTAAAAAGATGGTTGTATTTCTTGTTGTTTATTGTCTTATACTTGGTTATTTTTGATATGCTCAGAGAAAATGTGCATAACATTATTTATGCAATCAGCAAGTCATAGAAATGAGCACGACCATATCACTTGTTACAGAATAAACAAGTAGGTAATCCTTTTTTCTAATAAATTTAATTGGGCATCATAAAAAAATTGAAATCGAAGAATTTCAAATTGAAAGGAGATTATAAAATATGTTCTTCGTTTAAGAAATTAAAGTAATTATCCTCAACAAATCTCAAAATTAGTTACAATTAAGTCGCTATTGATTTAAAACTATAAAACATATCGCACCCCGGCAAGAAAAGTGACACAAGTCAAAAAATGATAATTTTGAGATTATGTCAATTAAAAATATGTATGAAGTGTCAGTTTTGTATCTATTTCAGAATACGCTTTGTAGCATTCTTTAAGATGATTTTTTTCAAATGCTGCATTTCAGAGTTATGACATTGTTCTTGCCGGGGTGCGATATTTCTATTACATATCTCAAACACTTTCGATTGAAACAATAGGAGAGGGTCAATTTTGTGATTAGGCTTCATCCCGTTGTTTTTTGTAAATGATGACTATTTTGGAAATAATTTTTAATAATTTTTCAATGTCATTTGTCATTGGAAAAATTTGTAACTAATTTTAAAACTTTAGGAGAATAATATCCATAGCTAAGCACGACACACTGTATGTATCTCCTTTGGGTTTTTCTCTTTAATTGATTCTCACATCGTCAGTCATTTTTGGGACATCCGTCAACAAGATTACAAAAGAGAAAGAGTGCAGCATCATCCTCAAAGTTTCTCAAGTTATCTTCCTATGGAAGACAATTATTCCATTTTTTATTTACTTTTTTGTTAGTGGTAAAAGGTAGAGACTGCATCGTATTCCCTACAGTGTTTTGTTTGAATTAAAAGGCAGAATTGCAGTTAATTACGATTAATTTCAGTTGCCTGGTCACTACGCATTTTTTAAGTAAAGATCTATTGTCCTTACACCAATATTTTTCTGATTAAAATTTGTGAAATACACCGAAGAGCCATTACATTATAACCACCCTGCTAATAACATGTAGGACCATCTTTAACTCTCAAAACTGCTATCACCCGCAGTGACATTGATTCCACAAGGTGCTGATAGGTAGTCTGAGGTATCTAGTACCATGTGCTCACCATCTGGTCCAGCGATTCTCTCACATTGCGAGGGGGTAGCGTGGCAGCACGAATTTGGTTTTCAAAGTAGGACCACAAATGCTCTATTGGATTAAGGTCGGGTGAATTTGGGGGCCAAGACATGAATTGAAGGTCACTGGAATGTTCCTCGAGCCAATCCATGACGATTCGACCCCTATGTCATGGTGCATTATCCTGTTGGTAAACACCATCCCCAGCAGGAAAAACTGTTGCCATGAATGGCTGAACCTGGTATGCAACTATGTTCAAGTAGCTTACAGACGTCAGGGATTGTTCTATGAGGATTATGGGTCCTAATGTGCCCCATGAAAACATTGTTCCTGGGCGAGAAACCATGAAAACCTGGGTGAGCCCATTGTTATAGATCAGTGTTTCTTAACCTTTTTGGTAGAATGGACCCCTTTTAAAAATTTTAAGAAGTCACGGACCATCCCCAGTGAAAAAAATAAATGCAAAAAACGTCAATAATTAGAAAACATATAATTTTATTATTTTAATAGTACACAAGATTTTTAAAATAAATATTTTTAATGTGAAGGTTGCTGTTTACTTACTTACTTACTTATCCTCTACGTGCCTTTGGGCACTTAAGGCCTCTAGCATATCCCTCCAACGCCTCCTGTCTCTAGCAATAGATCTTGCTTCCTCCCAGCCAGAAATTCTACATTCTTTTAATTCGCCCAAAAACATGCGCTGGATGGTAAGTCTGGGTCTTCGTCTTGTTCTTTTACCATCAGGAGCCCATGTAAGCGCAACAGATGTAATTTTTTCTTTGGGCATTCTAAGGATATGTCCGAGCCAGCTCCATCTTCGTTTTTTTAATTTCATCTTCTATTGTTTTTTTTTAGCTTTCTTTAATAGATTTTGACTTGATACTTTGTAAAGCCAGAAAATTTTAAAAATAAATCTTAAACATTTGTTTTGAAAGGTTTCTAATTTTTGTATTTCGATCTTAGTCTGTTTCCAGGTTTCTGCGCCATATAACAGTACTGCTCTAACAATAGCTTTGTAAACAACTATTTTTGTCTTTATTTCAATATTTGACTCTCTCCAAAATTTATGTAGTCCCTTAAAACATGTTCTTGCTTTGATTATTCTCTGTCTAATATCTTCACTACTTCCACCTTTTTTATCTACAATGGAACCTAAATAGCTAAATGACTCTATGTCATCTATTTCGTGATTTTCGATTTTAATTTTGTCATTTTTCTTTTGATTTATTCTCATTACTTTAGTTTTCTTCTTGTTTATGAATAAACCTACACTATTTGAATATTTGTTGAATTTGTCTGTTTTAAGCTGAAGGTCTGTACATTTGGATGAAATAAGTACGATGTCATTAGCAAAATCAAGGTCTTCTAAAGTAGTTGTGAATTCCACCTTATTCCTCTTTTTTCATATTTCAAGCTGTTTCGCATAATCCAGTCTATCACCAGTATAAATAAAAATCCTGAAAAAACACATCCCTGTCTCACGCCAGTTTTTACCAAAAAGAATTCAGTTAATTCTCCATTTACTTCTATACATGCTTTGCTGTTATCATACATATCTTTGATTATGTTAATATATTTCTCTGGTATATTATAAAGTGATAAAATTTCCCATAATTTCTTTCTCTTAACTGAATCAAAGGCTTTACTGAAATCAATAAAGTTTAAATATAAAGAGGTGTTAAATTCTAAGCTTTGCTCAATGATATTTCTAAGTGTGAAGATTTGCTGCATTGTTCCATTTCCACTGCGGAAACCTACTTGTTCTTCTCTTAAAATTCCATACATTTCATGTTTTAGTCTATTCAAAATTATCCTTCCAAATATTTTTCCCGGTATGGAAAGTAGGCTAATGCACCTCCAATTTTCGCATTTTGTTAGATCGCCTTTCTTGGGAATTTTCACTATTACTGCTTCTTGCAGATTGTTGCTGCTTTTCCTTAATTAATAAATTGAATTGAGGAATGGTTTTCAATAAAGCAACGCGCATATCATGTTCAACATTCAATTGATTTCAATGCTTTGTTTTTATTGTAACAAGTGTGGAAAATCCCGCTTCGCAAAGATGCACTGTAGCAGATAGAATTATAGCTGCCACAGCTCATTTTACAAGCAGTGGGAAGGCTTCCAAACATTTTAAACATTAGGAGTAGTCGGCGGACCCCCAAAATTTGACCCATGGACCCCTAAAGGTTCATGAGCCACAGGCTATGAAACCCTGTTATAGATGGAGGGTGGTCATAATGTAATGGCTCTTCGGTGTAAGTAGTAATATCCAAGGGAAAAACTTTATATTTACAAAATCTTACTTTAAAAAAATTTAAAAAAATTCTTAAGAAAGATGAATGAGTACCATATATGCATGCATACATACAGACAAGACAAGGTAAGACATATATACAAACTCAAGGCATCGAAATAATTTTGAATGCATTTCATTCATCAAAAAGTATTGTTTCATTTTCGATCTCCGAATTCTGAAATCAAAACTTAGGCACTTTCAGATTTAGATGTTTCAGGAAAAAAGGAAACGTGCATGTCTAACCTTTCACATAAGGATAAATCTTGGAATTAGGAGACTACTGCTGCACACTTAATTTTTTGTAATTTCAACTCCCTTAACAGAAAAAATCATGTCCTCACCTTTCAACTGAGATGGCCACCAATGTGTAAACTGATGCACATACAGAGACGCCTTGGAGGTAAGCAACTGCCTTGCAGAGGAACAATCCCAACATCCAAGCTGCATTAAAAATAAATACATGCTTTTATAATTTTACCACCACCAAAACCCATTATAGATTATTTTAAAAAATTATGGTCATAGTTGCTCAAATTTTCTTTTAGAGAAAATTAGATCATATTGTATCAGGTGTCTCAAAAAATCACCAATTATTTCAAAAATCAATTAAAAATAAACAAAGGATAGGAAAAAAGTACAGCTTTTTTAAAGCAAAAGGATCATTTTAATTTAAAAACTAATTGTTTTATTCTCATGACGTTTCACAATTATTTGCAAATTTCGTTAGAAGATGGCACATCTGACTGAAAAAACTTATAAACAATGCTTTTAATATATCTATCATTTGTCATTGATATCTATGTGAGAATAAAATTAAAAGACTTCATACATTATATCGTTGCTTTAAGACTAACATATGCTTTAAGCAAAGATATATAAAATAATTTTTTTCTTTAATTGATTTTTCAAATGTTCAGCGATTTTTGAAGTAATCTGGCATTATATTTTTTAAGTTATACGAAAATAAATTTAAGAAAATTATACATAATACATTTTTTCCATTGATTTTCCAAATACCCAATCATTTTTGCAGCAACTAGTATTTTTGTTTCGATATAAAATGTATAAAAATAGATACATTGTATAAAATATATATCACATAAAATACATTTTTTTTTCTTTGATTTATGTTTCAAAACATTATTTCATTTTGAAACACAAAGTAATGTATCTTTTCTTATATATATTTTAATAGCTTTTGAAGAAAAGATGCATTACTTTGTGTTCCAAAATGAAATAATGTATCTTTTCCTTAAGAGATATTAAAATATGTATAAGAAAAAAGTTACATAGAATATATTTATTTTCTTCAATTGTTTTTTCACATCGTCAGACATTTTTGAAACACTATATCTTTGATTTTAAATCATACAAATATATATATAAAAAAAGGCATTAAATATTTTTTGTCTGTAAATAATTTTTCAAACCCTCAGTCAATTCTAGGACACTCCACGAATTCTTTCTTTGTTTTAAACTTTACAAAGACCTAAAAAAATGTTGCTTCGTGTTTTTTTCTTTAACTGATTTTTCAGATTGTCCGTATATGACATTATGACGATTGTTATATGACAGCCGCTGTATTTTAGTATTTTATCGTTGCTTAAAGGCATAAAAATACACAGAATCTAATATTTCTTCAATTGAATTTTCAAATTATCCATCATTTTGAGACATTCTGGCATTTTCGCTTTACGATATACAAATATATATAAAAATGACACATAAGAAAAGACTTATTAAAAAATAAATATTTCAAATAATTTTATTACTGAGTTTTTTAAATTGTCTGTTACTTGAGATACTCTTATATGTTTACTTTAAGTTATACAAATATAAATAGAAAAATACTAATAACATAAATGGATTAAATAGAATTTATTATAAACAAATGCTAATGTAAAGTTTTTAAAACAATCTCCATATCCTTAAAACAATGTTAATGTGGTAGCATAATAAAAACAAATTAATATTGAGTTACATTGTTAAAAAAATTAAGCAAATATTTTTCGTCTTATTCAAGCTGCGGTTTTAATGATCACAGGTCGGCTTAATAAACAATGGTTTTGTTCTGAAGTTTGATGCCTCCATAGCAAGTATTAAATTTTATCCCTTGTTATCAGCACCTTTCCAGGGTATCTTACGCTATTGTTACGTTGTTTATTTCCCACCCAAGCCATCTCAAGAACATGTTGGGAGAAGTAACATTTGAATTTTCTCTAAAGAATCGAGGTCTAAATTAAGGGAAGTTACTGTCAATAGGCCACTTAAACAAATGTTTCTTAAAAACGTTAAAACTATAAAATTGCTGTTTGTAGAGTGTGTTAACACACTCTACAAACAGCAATTTTATAGTTTTGTTCTATATAATTATTGCTTTTATAATTTTTCGCATATCTAGACAAAAACTTTACAATTATGAAAAGTTTGAAAAAAATGGAAAAGAATACAGTACGGAAAAAAAACATTAAGACTTTCAAAAATGCTTTATTTAAGTAAATAAATCTTGAAATTACAATGCATTTCACAATGCAGAGTGCGCAAAATAAAAAAACGAACCACCCTCAATAACTTTTGATCTAATAATCGAAATTGATATCGAAATAGATTTGATGTTAATTGAAATGGGTCGAATATTTCCTGAGAAATTGAATTTCAAAAAAGTCGTATTTTTAAAAATCGATTCTTCAGGAACTATTCGATGCGTTTCGTCCAAACTTTGTATTTTGGAATGCGAAATTGAATTCTCTAAGATGATGTTAAAAATTGTGCACTTTGCAATTCAAACTTTTTCAACTATTATTAAACTAAATAATAAAACATAATAAATATTTACTAAAAGTTTTTTTTTTTTTGCGTGGAATTATCTTTAGATAAGCTATCTTTATAATTTTGTGCAAAAAAAAAATTCATTCGTTAAAAAGTTAGAGATATTGCGAAATACCCAAGCCTTAAAATTAAAATTAAGGGGTTCAAGCTGTGGATCGCTCTCCTGACCGAACTATGGAGACCATTTTCCCCATAATTTTAGACCGGTAACCCCTTTATCCTTTAACCTCTCACGAGCCTGAATCCGTCGAAAAAACGATACGTTTATTCAGAGAAAGTATGTTTCTGTATCTGATTTCATAATTTAAAATATCGTTTTCACTAATTAATTATCAATTAATTATCATTTGAATTTACTCCTTCGTACCTTTAAGATTGAGTCCTATAACGTGAAGATCCGATCATTTGATCAAAAGTTCTTCAAGGAGGTCCGTTTTTCATTTTGCACTCTGTACATACCTTTTACGCAACATTATATTGATAAATCAATAATAAAGTATTTTACCCTTAGCATTAAAAATCATTCGAAACTGTCTTGGTTCGAATATTACGAGAGACTCAAGAGTGTCGAAAGTTGTTTCGGACCATATTTTAATCAAGTCTTTCTTAAATTTTTTAACTGTCTTCTCTCCTGCTTTTTCAAATTAATTTTTCATTATTCTCCCCAAACTCTCGATGGAATTAAGATCAGGGGATGAAGCAGGCTACTTAATATTTATTCAATTATCATCCATCCAGTTCGTGGTTTGTCTTAAAGTGTGAGGATAAACATTTTCTTGTTTTAAAAGAAAGGCATCAAGGTAAAGTTTTTCAATTGTAGGAAGGTGGAGGAAAAGCTTTTGCTGATCCATCAGAACTTCAATGATCATTATTTAGTGTTAAGCATGGTAATTTTCATTATATAATAATGATCAATAGCTTAGTTTTCTTATAACATCTTTCATACTCAAAATAAAATGGTGGCAATAATCACCAAAAATTCAAAACTTTAAAAATCTCAATTTTTTTTGGCTCCGTACTGTGCAACTGACATTGAATTGAATGTCGGAATTGATGGTACAATGTACAAAAAAAATATGCTGCCTTAAGCAAACGGTTTTAAAGCAAATCAAAATAAAATACATACTACAAATTTTACTTGCTAAAATGCTTAACATTGATAAAAGGGAAAAAGTCACGAGTTTTGGGATGGCGATCAATCGGTTGCCGTGTCGTTAGTTTTGGTGCTATAAAAACAAAATAAATTGGTGACTGTAATTTTTCGTGTCCGAAAATACAATTGACATTGGACCAATGAAGATAACCAGTCGTCTTTATGAAGTCAGACAGTTTCTTTATATTGGCTGTTAGCTATTTAACTTCTGTTTAATTAGCTAGTTAATTTATATTTCTGGAGCAAAAACCAAAAATGGCTCTAAAAATAAGTGTTGTTGTCTTATAGCAGCTGTTGAACAGCTGACCCATTTATGGGTTTACGGCTATCCATGTTCAAATTTGCAGCCATGCAATTTCGTACCCATCCCAGAAGACAAGGGAACTCTTGCATTGAGCCTTGGGACGAACTAGTTTTCGTGAAGAATTTTTTTATTAGAACTAACCTGCATTACGTTTACGTGTTATGCGAAGAAGAAAATCCACGAAAACTTACCACAGTAACAAAGTGACAAGGGGATTCTAACCCATTATATGTCTACCATTGAGAATTTTTTTGTCAGCACTGTGATCGGTGCGAGCTCATAGCGGAATTTGTTACGAATAGCAATCGCTGGGATTTGAACCTTAGTCACGTCACTAGAAAGCATGATTTATATTCTCTGAGCCACCGTGGCTTTAATTTTTAGAAAGTTTGGAGATCCAATTGTGACAGAATTAAGGAATCTATTAATTTTTATTATAGCTAATCAAATTGAGGGAAAAGGGTTTTATGTGAGGCCAATAAAAAGCATAAAAGATCATTTTTCTGATTTAATAATATCTTCAACTCTCACAAATGATTATGAAGATATTTTCTTGGTTTACATTGTACTTTGCACCACTTTAATTAAACTCACAAAGAACTATTTCAACTCTATTAGAATAGTGATTTCGAAAAAAAAAGGTGTTTTTTGGGTCAACTTAGTGATTAATCAAAACAAATTTTTTATAAAATAATTATTAGCCGAAATTTGTAACTTTTTGTAACGAATATGGACCAGATAAGTGGAGATTCTAAATAATGTTTATTGTGCAACGTGTTACGGTGACGTCTTTTTCACTGGCAAAAATTATCACCTGGCTTTTATTTAGACAATAAATTTTAGAGACATCAGGATGTAGATTTTTTTCTCTCTGCAACTTAAAAGATTTTATTGGAATAAAAACTTTCTAATCTCATTTCCCTCCAAAAATTACATATATATGTGCCCACCTCTCAGTCAACTTTCGAATTCCATCTCGAAAAAATGTCTCGTCTTTTGAGGCAATCCAAGTTAGGAGACAATTTTCGATTTCTGCGAAAGGAAGTGAACTGGTGACCTGCCAAATCATGTTGCATCCATCGGAACAACCAGTAATCAGAAGGAGCAATGTCCAGTGTATACAACGGGTGCTGTAAAATATCCCACTTGAGCATT